TCTTGACCCAGATACCTGCTTCATCACCATAGCCGGAACCGGAAATAGCGGCCCGTTTCAATTGGATGACGATGACCTAGAATTTTTGGACGGAGAAATGAAGATAGACGGAGCGGAGCACAGTTACTCATTGGTAAAAGAAGAAAAGAGAGACGACGATGAAAATGATGGGGCCTATTTTGAGAGAGAGAGTGAAGATTTCAAGAGTTACCAGCTAAATTTTGACGGTTTGAGTTTCACTATGTGTTTTAAACTTTCTCATCCTAACAATAATTACGATAAAATTATGTAATGATTATGACAATAATAATAATAATAACAGTAATAAAATTATAATTATAATAAATCAGATCTTGGACTCGAGCAGGCCGATTTATTCAGCCAATCAGAACTCTCGGCCGCCGTTACTACAGCTGCTACTGCTGCTACTGCCGCTGCCACAGCTATCAAGTCGAATAAAAATTTAATAATAAAAAGAATAAAACTAAATAGTAATAATAATAAAATTATCAATAATAATAATAATAATAAATTGGGTAAACATTCGCCTTATTTGGACGTCGTTAGTTCGAATAATGAAGACTCCCATATCACATATCGCCTTCATAATGATAATGATAATAATAATAATAATAATAATAATAATATTAATAATAATAAGTTAATGGGTTTAGATAATGATTGCGTGTTCCCCATAAAGAGTGAACCTTTGGGTGAAGATGATGATGATAACGACATTGGCGGCGACGATGATGATGATGATGGCAATCGTGGTGGTGGTGATGATGACGGTGAAGATGCCATGCTGATGACGACAAAGAGTTAGTGATCATTATCAGTATTATTATTATTATTATTATTATTATTATTATTATTATTATTATTATTATTATTATTATTATTATTATTATTATTACATCATCTTCGTCGTCGTCATCGTCGCTATCGCCAAGCCGCTGTAAAATTTATTTCACCATTAACTCTTACTTATATTCCAAAGTCCAAACTCGAAGTTGATCTCCAATGTTCACTTTTTAAAAACACGCTAACAAACACACACGCACACCACACACACACACACACACACACTACACACGCACACCACACACACACAACACACACACACGTACATACATACGTACATGCACTCACAAACATACAGCCTCTTAAATACATACACAACAACGGGAGAAGATTATGCATATACACGCACGTACAAGCAAGCTCACAAACGCATACTCAGACAAAATAAATACACACAGACAAGCACACATTCATATATGCATACATACAAATTAGCGTACATATTAGCATACATACACACCTACTTACAAAGTACTAACTTGCACAAACATAAATGTATATAAACAAACACACAAACGAATGAATGAACAAACAAACCAACAAACCAACAAACATATAAACGAACAAACATACAAACGAACAAACATACTAATCCTGTTAAACATCAAGACGACAAACAAACACAAATGCATAAGATTAGATCACTTTTATTTACAACTCCAGGCTCTGCTCGCTACGTACATGCAGCCGATAAAATAATTGTTCTCAGTTTTCCACTCTTTCCACCTCAAAATTTTTATATTTTATATTCGCTTGAGGAATCTTTCTTAAAAAGTTTTAACTCGCTTGTGTTTAAAATTTAAACAGAGATTTTGATTTTGTCTCATAAATTTTTCTTATATTTTTTAATTAAAAACAAATTTATTTATAAAAAATAAACTGCTTTCAACATTGGGCAAGTGAATTCGATCGAAAATTCACAACCAAATTACCACAAATTAACAATGAAACTAGACTACTAACTCATTTCAAATTGCGCCAACACCAACACCAAGCTTAGAGGCGTTGCTATCGCGGCTTCTGTTGCCGTGGTGGTGTCGAGCGTGGTGGATAGAAACTGGCTTTATTTTCGACACCGTGGCTACCGCTGCATATGTGGTTGCCGCAGTCGAGATTCTAGCTACATAGGAGCAGCTAAAACAGCTGCAAAAAAATTTAATTCACTTTGTTGATTTTTTTAATTGATGATAATTGAACTGAAATAGGATCCCAATTAAATTTATTGTTAGAATTAATCATATTGTTTAAGTTTCATTATACATTATATATAGCAAATCTTTTATTTATAAACTTTCTAATTTATTTATTTATTTATAAATGTTCTTGTGATGTGTTCTGTTATGACGGCGACGATGATTGGTTGACGATGAAATGACGTCATAACGCAACCAGGTAACTCTAGCCAATCAGGACACACGTTAGCCTTCTCGTCAACTCCATCGTCTTTCTCATCATCCCTCCCTCCATCAATGATGATGACGGCCATCACGAGTCGACTCTATCCGACGCTGCACAATCCTCTGCCACCCACACCACCACTTAGTGGCTGTGGCCTAAATAGTGACAGCGAATGCAGTGTCGGCGGAAACTCCAACCCGTCCAGTCCTCGAGTTCTATTGGCCGAGGCGAGAAATGGGGTGGGGCCAAAAAAAGATGTTGACGTGGCCGTGAGAGGGAATGTCCAGAGTCAGCCCTTCTTCTCAAACCCAGTTAGTTGCAGTGATAGTTGTTATTGTTGAATACAACCTTTTCATCATAATCATCTTCATTTTCATCTTCATCGTCATCTTCATTTTTATCTTCTTCATCGTCATCTTTATCATCATGTTTATCGTCATCTTCATCGTTTTCATCATCGTCACAGATACCGACTAGCGGTGTTTTGGTATTAAGCGAGGAGGAGAAGCGCACCTTGTTGGCCGAGGGTTACGCCCTGCCCTCCAGGCTGCCCCTCTCCAAACAGGAAGAAAAAAATCTGAAAAAAATTCGGAGAAAGATTAAAAATAAGGTGAGCGTTATCTATTATTATTATCATTATTATTATTATTATTCATTTATTGGGTTATTCGTTTGTTCATTCGTTTATTTGTTCGTTTCTTCGTCCATTTGCTCATTCGTTCACTTAATCCTGCCGGTGCCCATTCATTCATCTATCTATTCGTTTGTTAATCAGTTCAATCATTCGTTTATTTATTCATTTATTTATTCATTCACTCACTCATTCACGCCCTCAATCACTCACACACTCATCCATCTATTAGATATCAGCTCAAGAAAGTCGCAGAAAGAAGAAAGAATATCTCGAAAGTCTTGAAAAGAAGTGAAAATTTTTATTCATTTATTGTTTTCATCGCTTATTCATTCATTCCTTCATTCTTTCATTCATTCATTTATTCATTCATTCATTCACTCATTCATTCATTCATTCACTCATCCATTCATTCATTCATTCAGAGTGGAGCAGATAACGCAAGAGAACAGTGGACTGAAGAAAAAAGTGAACGTCTTGGAAAATAACAACAGGTAGGTTACATCTCTCTCTCTCTCTCTCTCTCTCTTTCTCTCTCTTTCTCTCTCTCTCTCTCTCTATCTTTCATTTTCTTATGTATCAAACATTTTGTTCTAACGTGTTTGTAATTGTCAGTTTATTTTATTTCATTTTTTTCTTTGTTAGCATTTAAATTAACTTTTAACCCCACAATAGAAACTTAATAGCGGAACTGCAGAAACTGCAAAATATTGCAAAGATAATGAAAGCATCATCGCTATCATCAGCAGCAGCAACATCATCATCTGTGACGTCAACTGTGACGTCAACTGTGACATCCTCATCTTCGTCACCGTTTTCGCCAATGGCAAGAGCCAATAATATTGGAGCATCGCAATGCCTTATTGTAAGTTTGATCGATCGATTGATCGATTCATTCATTTATTCATT